CTAATCTATTTCAGAGAAAATGTCCATTGCTAGAAGAAGAAAGCAAAGTCAGTTTTAGTTTAGGTGTCAGAAGCTTTTAACTCCGGTATAATTTCTGTCTCGATTCCTGGTCTAAACAATCTCAGGCTCAGCAGTAACCCTCTGCCATATGGATACAATGCTGGGTTCAAGCCAAACGCCATGGAAGCCAACACACCCCAAGCCACAGATGTGCTGTCAAAAATTTTTGTAAATTTTGATTACATGAGATTCAGGACACGATTCCTAGTCCCAAAGACAATTCTTAGGCATATTTTAACTAATCTACCCAACTCAATTCCTATTAAAGTTTGTCTACATAAACTGAGTCCAGAAGATCATGTAAATCCAGAAAACAAATCGACATCTGAAATATACACACATCTAAAGAAAATATGAACTTGTGTCTTCTTGCTTTGTCCAAACTATGCTTCAGTCTTCAGGCAATAGAAGCTATCCATAGCAAAGAGTCTGATTTTGCTGAAAGGAAGGTTTAAACCGTCACTCTGAGGTTTAACTGTAGAGTTTCACCACCTAAAACATTAAGTTAAACTCCATAACTACAAAATTTCTGTTCACTCTCAGTATCTAAACAGCTTGAGGTCACCATTTCTTACTGACTGTTGTTTCCATTTGGCCCTTTCCTCTGGGTATAAAGTTTTGTGGGGACAAACATTTCATTATGTTTATGTCTCATATTTGGGATGGTACACTGATCTATTTCCAGAACATATTTAAATTAACTTCTAAGTTTCCATGTATCTTTTTTTTCCTCAAATCATCATGAAAGATCATTCATCTTTAAAGGATATTTTTCAAGAAATTTTAGATTAATTTTTCCTCTTATGGAAAGTGGATCTTCAACAGCAGCATATTTTTCAAATGTCATAATCACTACTTTGAAATAAAATGCAATTTCTATTTGAATCACATGCATAGTACATTTCAGAACAGTTCCTACATGTGTACTAACCACCATAATCACCTATTAGCTTTTCTTAACATTTATATGAAACAACTGATAAATGTTATAATTCACTGTAAGGATTTTAACCTTCTTAGGGTTGAAAAAATTAGAGAGAGACTGCCGTGTCAATTTTAAGATAGAGCTGAAAGTTCAAAGAACAAAATTTCAATCTAGTCCCTACAGAATTAAAACCAAATTAAAATGCAGAATTCCATTTCTAGAGACTATTTACATCTTCAATTGTTTACCTACTTCCTAGACCTGCAAGGAAACCTGGCATATAAACACCCAGAAATGATTTTTCAATAGGTAATATATAAATGCGATTTGTTTTTTAAATTTAATGGCTGATATTAAGTTTTTGCAGCTATCGTAACTTTTAAAATTAAAAATATATGCACATAGCTAGAAAACTGTAAGCTTAGAATAAAAGGACTCGGAATAAACACCAAGTCTCCTCCTCCAGCCCTGCTCTCCAGAGGCAATCATGTATAAGTTTTATTTGAGGGCTTTAGGTGCTTAAATCTTATCTCTAATAATTTGCTTATTTTTCTACTATTTTTAAGTTGGTTTCACACATTATTTACTGACTTTCTGCTCTACAAAAAGAGGATATAGGTCATTTAGCCAAAGCCAGTTTCTTGTGTCCTCGTAATATGCGTATGACTATTCACAATTTAATCTTTATCTACTTTGTAACTTCAAGATTCATATTTAAATCTTTATTATTATTTTTTAATCTCTATTATTTTTTCATCAACTATACGGAAACTCTCTTAACACCATATTTTAAAATATGAAGTTAGTTATAACCCCAACTTTCTTTCATCTCTTCTCCCAATTTTTAATTCTCTCACAGTGTGACCTTTATCTATTTTATATCACGGGAAACATTTTGTCTTTTATATAATCACAGAGCAGATGAAAAGCCTGCTAAGTATTCTGTAATACTCTATAAGTTATAATACTCTATGAGTGTTTATGTTACTATGACAATGTTTACATTGTTCTTCAGGAACTAGGACGTAGACTCTGATGTTTTCCCTTCCTCTCTAAATCCAACGTCACATCTGTGCCATTCCACAGAGGATATTACTAGAGTTTTAAGTTCAAATAAATTCTCCTTTTATGTACTTCAGTAACTGCCTTCACCACACCTCCAGTTTTCCCTGGAGAGTCTCATACAATATTTCTATAGCTCAATCCATCTTATTTCTGAGACGCCCTCCTGGAGCTGATTCATTGTGGACTAACTGCTCTCAAGACCTACTACTGCCTAGCTGTTGCTCTGGGACCAATAGTCATTGTTTTCCTGATCTTATGTTTGCCCGTCTTGGTTTACGTGCTATTTTGCTATAATATGTCCTCAAGTAACTACAATATGTCTAAAGTGTGCACTGCAGATAAACTCTGGAAAGTTTGCATGTCAGAAAATATCCTTATTCCACCTTTCTCTAATTTTTTTCCTAAATCTAAAAGCACTGATTGCTGTCTTCCATCATCAGCACTGGATGCTAGAAGACAGCAATCAGTGCCTTTATTTAATTTACACGTTTTCTCTCTGCTCTCATTCTAGAAACTTGCTCTTCAGATGTAGGGGTTTCTACATTGATCCTACATATATTAATATTTTCCTTATTTTCATTTTTATCTCTTTGTCTTAATTTGGGGGATAACTTTTAATTTTTAACCTGATTTTTTTAAAAAAACAATCATTTTTAACATCTAGTAGATCTTCTGTATTTCCTTTCACAGTGAGCTATCTGCAATATACAAAACTTGCTAAAAATACCAGATCTCTTCTGCTCCCTGAAGTACCTCTATTTTTATGCGGGTCTGATTTTTCTACACATTACCTTGCTCATTCTTATTGCAAGCTTTTTAAAATCGTATGCTAATCCTTGGTTATCCATTCACTTTTGAAGATTCAAACAATAAATGTGTTTGGAAACTCTGTGTATTTAGGTAGGGTTTGACACCTCATGCCATAGTGGGGACGGAGGGAGACTATCAATGTCAGAAACCTTTCTTCTGGAGCTCCAATGTCTACATTACTTGCCCTATGTCTTTTAAGGTAATTAACACAGTTTTGTAGACTTTTTAATTAACCTACTTTCTGGGGTTCTGCACCTACGAATGAAGATGGGATCAACTGCTCTGCAGGCACACTTTCAGTGGTGTTCCTATTTTCAAGGCCCTATCACACTCTCAACATCTTTTATGCCTATGTATCTGAGTCTATTCTTCAAGGTACAGCAGCCCCTCCTTTAACTCTTGCCTCCTCTGCATAGACACTGCATAAATCACCCTACGTCTTTAATTATCACTCTCCATCATCTTTTGCCTTCTGGAAATCCGTTAGTTTCTTCTCAACTAGTGGCTTTTACACCATTTTCTTTGCTTTGGGTTTTTTCTCCTATGTTTTACTTCTTTACTATTATTTAAATGAGATCTTCAGAAAGAAAAGACATAAAAGTGTGTATTAGTCCATCATCTTAAGCCAGAGTTACTTTTCATATCTTAGCCAACTAATTTTGCTTTTAACATTTTGCTGAATTAATTATTTGTGCCTAAGGAAAAAAAACATGTTTCGTTTTGTGATGTTTTTCAGGGGCAGGATGTCTTATTTATTTAAATATACTTGACTTTCCATGCACTTACCATCTGTAAATTTAGAAATATTTAAGTTTGCCATCATTAAAGATCACATTACTTTCACTTGTATATTTAGAGAATATACTCAATTTTGCAGTTATTGAAATTTGTAGTTATCACTGAAGTAATAATACGAAGTGTAAAGTTATCATCTTCTTCCTAACTGCTTAACTTAGAATTTTGCCAGTTACAAATTATTCTTATGAGGAACATATATAGAGAAAAATGCACCAAAACAAGCTAGAGTTAGTTATGTTCTTGATTTGCTTTGGGGATCTGTTCTTCCCTCTGCAAATACACAGGAACTAACAGGAACTCACTAGAAATGTATCAACTTTAAGGACAGGCAGAGGACGATGGAAGAAACATGGAACAAATAAGACAAAAATAATTTTTTAAGTAAAACAGAAAGAAAGAGGAAAAAAGGGGTATAAAAGTAAAGATTATACCATTGTTCAGACCAAAGGTCAACATTTACAGGCATGCACACTGCCTTAGGTATAATAAAACACTTTTAAATTTTGCTGTTTAAAAAAATCTCACAAAATGCCTGAGTTTTTGTTTGGTTTAGTTTTTGACACTTATGAAGTCCAGGATCTTCTTAAAATCTTATTTAATAAAAATCTTATGTGATACAAGTTTTTAATAAAGTCATTAATTTTTCATCATGTATACTGCATCGATTGACACTCCATATCTTTCATGGCATGTGACTGCAGGATCCAAGGGCCTGAATTTTGGGGGCTTTTTCCTTGCACCTCCATGGCTGTTCTTTCAGGCCCTTGCTATCAGCACAAGGCGCTTACACTTCAAAACTCTGCCTCTTTCAGGTAGACTGTGATTGAATTTTTATTGTCATATTCTATAATGATATCTGTCACAGAAGCTGCTCATTCATCAATACAAACTGAAGATCTGCTTATAGAGTTCTTTCTGGCTTGTATAAGTTGTCCACAGTCTCGAAGCACAAGGGCAGGGGAGGGGTGGGGGAAGGAGCTGGTGTCAGGCAAACAGGTCCATGAACAATTTGTTTAATTTTTCTGACTTCTTAAAAGACACAGTTGCTGCAATAGTATAACGATAATTACTTTTCTTACTTATTCCTTTCAAGATTGTACAAATCGTTTCCTAGTTTTAAAATCCATATTTTAGATTTAGAGTATTGAAAAGGCAACTCCTCATGGTTCAAATTATAGTTAAAGGCACAGCACACAATGTGAATGACTATTTATTCAGAACGTGTGATATTAATCCCATGAATCTGCTGTTTTAGGAGCCCCTCCTTTGCTCTTGGCATGAGTATGTGTGTTGGAATCATTGGCCATGTTAATCTAACATGTTTATGTTTCTCTAATTTTAGCATGTGGAAAACTGATGAAAATCACAGGCCCAATTACAGTCAAGACATCTGGAACCCGATTTGGTGCTTGGATGACAGATCCATTAGCATCTGAAAAAAATAACAGAGTATGTTGCTTCTACAAATGCCTTTGCTTAGAATTATGTTTTATTTACATTTTTTGTCTACAGAACTATTCATTTTCTTCAGGGATATTAGTTTCAAGTTGAAAAGTATTACATCAAGGAAAATATTTTCAGTTTGGTAATATTAACACAGCTACAGATAAATGGCAAACTTATTTTCATAAAATATTTTATACTATAATTCACCAATGTAGTGAGTCTAATTTTTACTGGTTTTAGTCTTGTTTTACACTTGAAAGGGCTACATTCTCTACTACTTCTTCTAGAAGCTACTGCTTAGTGGGGGAAAAAAAAGGCACTAAAGTGAAAAACTCAAGAGCTAACCAATTCACTAAACAAGCTAAAATATCCCTGAAGTCTAGAGATAATTTTAAAGAAAAAGCACTGCCTTTGGCAATGCCTGTAGTATATAAATCAATATACTGGAAACGTACCATAGCTCTATTCATGTTCTATTACAGAACTCAGTATACATTAAGATTATCAAGGGATGCATCCAAACAAGACTAGTAGCTAGATTAGTAAAAGGTTTCATTAAAAGGTAGTCATACCTATTAGCTGATCCAATAATGAACAAGTGTTTCTAGAAGGTTCTGCGGTATCCATAAAGGAAAAATAAGGTGAATATGTAAAATTAAACCACACATTTTTTCAAAGCAAATTATAGAATAAATTTGCAGAAGGTGATATCAGGTAACTAAACAAAATTATGTGATTTGCAATGATACATGTTTGATCCACTCAGTAATATGCCCTGAATGGTCAAAAATAATAATAAAATAAAATAATAAAAAATAAAATAAAACAAAGGACAAAAAGCAAATCAACCTCAAGGAAGTAAATTCAGCTGTTTACTTTCCACATAGACCATGCCACTATTTTTGCAAAAGTCTGCAGTAGATGGCAATAGGTCAGCAGTAAGATAATGTGGGTTCCAGAGCCTGAGAACAGTGATATTTATATGTGTTGACTCTCACTGTCTTTGTTTTGAAATTCTCAGAAAAGTACAGAATATACTTACTCCGTTTATTTTTTTCCTTCTTCCCAGGTCTGGTACATGGACAGTTATACTAACAACAAAATTGTCCGTGAGTACAAATCAATTGCGGATTTTGTCAGTGGGGCAGAATCAAGGACATACAACCTCCCTTTCAAATGGGCAGGAACTAACCATGTTGTCTACAATGGCTCACTCTATTTTAACAAGTATCAGAGTAACATAATCATCAAATACAGCTTTGATATGGGGAGAGTGCTTGCCCAAAGAAGCCTGGAGTATGCTGGCTTTCACAATGTTTACCCCTACACATGGGGTGGATTCTCTGACATTGACCTAATGGCTGATGAAATCGGGCTGTGGGCCGTGTATGCAACTAACCAGAATGCAGGCAATATTGTCATCAGTCAACTTAACCAAGATACCTTGGAGGTGATGAAAAGCTGGAACACCGGCTATCCCAAAAGAAGTGCAGGGGAATCTTTCATGATCTGTGGGACATTGTATGTCACCAACTCCCACTTAACTGGAGCCAAGGTGTATTATTCCTATTCTACCAAAACCTCCACCTATGAGTACACAGACATCCCCTTTCACAACCAATACTTTCACATATCCATGCTTGACTACAATGCCAGAGATAGAGCTCTTTATGCCTGGAACAATGGTCACCAGGTCCTGTTCAATGTCACCCTTTTCCACATCATTAAGACTGAGGATGACACATAAACAAATATAATTTGTTTTCACTGATCTAAACAGTGTCATTTGTGATAAACTCTATAGGACCCTTTTTTTCTTAACTTTCTGCCATTTCTCCAAAGCACTTTTTATTATAAAGTTGGTGTTTCAAAAAACAGCTGAGCCTGTCTAAATTAACCTGTTGGAAATGCATCTTAACTCCTAAATTTACAAGGCCTATCATGCCCTTGTCATGAAAAGCACTAAAAAGAGCTTAAGTGGCTAAAGTCATAGTTTTGCAAAAGATTAATGATCTGCCTTATATTAGAGACTAATGGTAGCTTAAATGCATAAATGTCTTTTTTTTTATTTTTACTCTATTATTTTTTACTGTCTTTAGCTCCACATCAGGATATACTTGGTAGGAACTGAAAAT